CGAGTGGGTGCGTGGGGCTGCGATCATGTGAATGGGGTTGCTCCTCCTCATTGCATCACTTTCAATATTTTAGAAGTTGACTTGACTTCCAAAAACATTCATTATACAGCTTACCTTTAAAATATCTATTAGAAATGTTGTGTAACTTTTCTTGCTCCAGTGACTTCGGGAGGTTAACAAAGATGGATAAAATGTAAGAGGATCAATGAACTAAAAAGAAGCGGTAAAAATAACGCAAAGGAAAGGCAGAGTCCCGCTGTGGGCACGCAGTAACTGTGTCTTTCCTTTTCGCATCATCGTGTTACGAATGATGTTTGGAAACCAAAGCGTGAGGGAGTAAGTTGGCCAACCCCACTCAGAGGTTCCCCGGGGGCGCGCCCACCTTCCTTCCCCTGCGTCCAGCCACAGTCACGCACATCCCACCAGCGCTAGCGTCACGGCTGCCCTGGGCCGTCCATGGCTCACAGCCCATCAGCGTAAAAGCCGCTTTCACATTTCCTCGAAGTCAGAGACCTCACCCAGTGGGACACAATAAGACCAGGGATGCTCTTCCCTTTGAAGGTTTTTGTGGTAACATTTTTACGATGTTTATCACAGCCATTACCTATAACATCACCATCGACGCGGACCTGTACTCGTCCCGCGTGACCTCCCGGGGGCTGTTTAAGGAGAACAGTGACCGGTACCTGCAGAAGGACGCCACCGTCGGTCCAGGACAGACTTGCTCTGAGTTCGCCATCCACATACAGGTGAGGGCCCCCTCCCCCCTCCCTGGGGCCTAGTAAACGGAGAAAATCCAAAAGGGAGACTGAGGAGCCAGGAAACGCTCGCCTGCTAACGCACGCTTTTCTTTTCTGGGGACAGGGCGCCTGTCTCCTTCGCTAACGCGTACGGCGAGGGGCCGTTCCTCAGTGAGGGGCGCTACGTTTTATTTGTGGTTGCAGTTAATGGGGCCAAATAGAAAACCCTCAGAGACGCCGGGGACAGAGTGCCTTATAAGGCGGTCAGCAGGGAGAACGCGTAGTTGACAGGGATTTTACGCGGACATTTTCCGCTCGGGGAAGTTGCGTTCCTTTTTAAGGGACCGAAGAGAACCATCGCACTGGGTTTTTCACTGGGCGCACGCAGGGCGAAGGGGCCCAGGTACTCGTGGTGCAGCCGGTGATGCAGGGACCACATCTCGGGAAAGGCCGCGTGCAGACGCTGAAAAGCTTACCACGGATGCTCGGACGCATGCACATGGGTTGTTTGCTGTTCACGTTGAAGGTTACTTGTTCGCCAAGGCCTGGCCTTCTGTTGGTGAGGGGCCAGCTGTCCCGCCCCTTTAAGGAATGACAGCTGGAACCACATAATGAGCTGAATGGCGGGTCACACTGAACACGTGGCCCATCTGGCCCATCGGGGGGGTGAGGCAGCCAGGCTGTTGGGTGGAAGTCCTGGGGGTTCCCCCGTGCACCTGTGGGGCTCGCAGGGCGGGCTGTTACCTCAGCTGGGAGACGCTGTCCAGTTCAGTCCTCACGGGCCCCACCTTGTGCCAGCCCCGCCTTGTGCCAGGCCCCAAGGGGCCGTGAGGACTGACTGCGGCCTGGGATGGTAAGTGGCAACAGGCCCGCTGGGGAGGGGGCACACCTCGTGTCCAGCGCTTGCCGTCTGCTCCTCGTTCTTTCTGGAGAACCGGGGGGTCTGCATGAGGACTGCTAAGTGACACTCGCACCCTGTCCTGGCGTTTGTACATTTTCCACTAGACGGGGCGTCTCAAAGCCAAGTGCCTGTGGGCACCGCCAGTCCCCCTCCCTGCACGCCAGCGGAGAGGGTGCTGGGGGTGGCAGCTTCCTGACTGCGAGAGGCCAGGCACCTCACCTGAGCCAGGAGAGCGGGCTCCTGCTGTGGGCTGGGCTGGAAGTCGGGGGCTGGGCCAGGGGGAAGTCGGGGGCTGGGTTCGGATGTGGACATGGGCAGCGCCTTTGGCTTCGCAGAGCAGAGTGAGGCTCCGACTAAGGAAGCTCTTGTCTGTCGCCTAACAGCCAGCCTGTCCCTTCCCTTCGAGGCCACAGTGTCCCTTCCAGGGGCACCAAGGACCCCAGGTCTCAGCTGTAGGGACTGAAAAGACAGCCAGCAACCCGAGGGCGGGGACTGACACAGCTCGTTACAGCATTAAAACTGGATATATTGCCAGCTGGCGTGGCTCCGTGGTTGAGTGTCAGCCTATGAACCAGGAGGTCAGGGTTCATTCCCTCCCGGTCAGGGCACAGGCCCGGGTTGCGGGCTCGATCCCCAGTGTGGGGCGTGCAGGAGGCAGCCGATCCGTGATTCCCATCATTGATGCTTCTCTCTCTCCTCCTCTCCCTTCCTCTCTGAAGCAATAAAAGTATATATTTTTAAAAACTGGGCATATCACCTGAATGTTTACCATTCCTTATGTGCACACAGTGAGGTTCCTGGGCCGCTTACCCAAGAACTGCCACTTCTGATTTTCCCTGAGCCCCTGACTTTAGTTTCTTAGCGGAGAGGCAAAGACCAGATTAGAGCAGAAGAGAAGACGCCAGAGCCGTCATCTAGACAACACTGTGGCCTGTTCTGCTTTAATGCTTCCCGTGCTAATACACGGACTCTGTGTGTGTGTAGGAGCCCTCGGATGTCGTCAACGCCCTGAGTCTCCTCGTGAACATCAGCCTGGCCCACCCCGGCACCAGCCCCGCCCTGGAGGCCTACTCGGAGACGGCCAGGGTCTTCAGCGTGAGTGGGGTTGGCCCTCCTGGCATCCAGACCCGCTAGCAGGTTCACCGTGGCTGCTGTGGGAAAGACACTTAGCACGTGGCCTTTAACCTGTTCATTCTCTAAATGAAATACCGTGACTACGTGCACAGGCCACTAGCATGTAAGATCCACGCAGCCCGAGATTCCGTCTTCCTCGTTCACTGTGCTAGGCCCGCCCGGCCCGTGAGCGGTGCCGCCCTCCGCAGGGCCCACGGGTGTTTGTGGGAGAAATAAGTAACAACACAGCAAACTCCGTGTGCTCACCGTGGGATAGAATATTACCCCAACCTGTGACTCCCCTGTACACTCCCACCCCCACACTCCTCTTGCTCCCCCTGCCAGTCACTCCCTTGAACTTTGCATTTATCACGGCTTCCCTCTCCGATGTTGCTAAGCGTGTACATAGTCCAGAAGCGTGGCTTAGTTTGGGCTGGTTCTGAGCGCCGTGTAAACGGAAGGACGCTGTGTGTGCTCGTCCACATTTGCTCTCCTAAGGGCCAGCGTCTGGGCTTGCTTTCCTTCTCTAGATCCCTTTCCACAAAGACTGTGGGGACGACGGCCTGTGCATCTCCGACCTGGTGCTTGAGGTCCGCCAGCTGCCAGCTGCTCAGTAAGTTTCACTGTATGGCTCCGTGTGGCTCAGTGGGTTGGGCATTGTGCTGTGCACCCAAAGGTGGTGGGTTCGATTCACAATCAGGCACATACCTAGGTTGAGGGTTCAATCCCTGACCTGGGCACTTATAGGAGGCAACCAATTGAGGTTCCTCTCTCACATTGATGTTTCTTTCTCTCCCTCTCTCTCACTCTACCTTCCTCTCTCTAAAATAAAAAAAGAATGTAAAGCCTAGTGTAAAATCTATATAATAAAAGCCTAAGTGACCGTTACGGCGGAACGACCAGAACGACCGGTCGCTATGATGCGCACTGACCACCAGGGGGAAGACGCTCAATGCAGGAGCTGCCCCTTGGTGGTCAGTGTGCTCCCACGGGGGCAGCTCCGCTCAGCCAGAAGCCAGGCTCACAGCTGGTGGCAGGAGCCTCTCCCGTCTCCATGGCAGCGCTAAGGAGCAGCAAACTGAGTGGTCAGGAGCAGTGAGCAGTAAGGAGCGAGGGGTCCCAGACTGTGAGGGGGACCCCCCCCCCCCAGTGCACGAATTTTGTGCACCGGGCCTCTAGTATAGAAATAAAAGACACATTCGATTGTTATTCAAGTGAATGTTTATGGAGATAGTTTCTACAAAAGAAATGTCTGTAATTAATAAAGACTCTAAAGTCTGAATTTCACTTTCTGCCAGTCGTGCAGGTGTCAGACAGTAAGGACTGTACAACCACTTGTATGTGGGTGGTTCCTTCCCCGACTTGTACTAAAGGCAACAAAGAAGAAAGCCCAGTAGCACTTACTCATCATTTTGCAATGAAGACAGTTTCTTACCGAGCAATTTTCTCAGTGTTCGAAGTGGATCTGAAGAGCTTATTTTTGAAATGACTGAGGTGTTTGAATACTGACCCCTTTCCTCCCCTTAATGACTTTCTTTTTCCTTTTTCTCCTTTTTTTTAAACAGAGAACAACCCTTTATTGTCAGCAACCAAAACAAGAGGTTAACCTTCTCAGTGACACTGAAAAACAGAAGGGAGAGTGCGTACAACACTGGGCTCCGTGTGGATTTCTCAGACAACCTGTTTTTTGCTTCCTGGTCCATGCCGGTAAGTGGTGCTGGCTCCACGGGGGGCTCACTCCTCAGTCACGCCTCCCCTCAGCTCGACCCCCGAGGTCTGTGCTCCGTGTTGCAAGGGAAACTCTTTAACCACGGGGGGCACCCTCAGGCCTGACTGCGCGGCTCCCAAAGTGTTAAACCCGGGAGCACGTTGCCTGGCTCCGTGTCCGGGCCGGGCGGCCTCGCAGGCGGCTCAGTTTTTCCTTTGCCCTGAGACTTGCCTCCGGGCCAGATCCTTGCCCACCGTGAGCTCAGATGCTCCGAGCTGCACTTGCTCCGAGCGCTCAGTCCCGCAGCTGGGCCGGGCGGGCGGCTGCCAGGGGACGCATTCCGGCGAGGTCAGCTAGTCGTGTCGGCTTGATGACTATCCCAGGGGCGCACTTGACCGCGAATGCCCCCGTCCCCTCGGCCACCGTGCAGGGAGCAGGAGGGGGAAAAGCTAAGATTTTCCAAACCAGCTGCCTGTGATGAGAGAATGTGAACCGGTCCCATCCAGCTCAAGGCAATGTGAGCTTAACAGACGTAGCGTCCTAAACCATTCTGACTTCGGTGTTTAACTTCCCCGTGCCAAATGACAGCTTATTCTAAAGAGGAAAACCAAAAAACAGTCTGGAAATCATTTAAAGCATATTAATAAACACCAGCGTACAATTTTGTTTTCTTTTCGTGAAACTACAAACTTCACCTATATTAAGAGAAAGATGTGTATTTAAGACAGCATTCCATGTGGGATTGCAATTATTTCGTGCTTATGAAATATAAGAGCGAATAAATCAATTCTGGGGGGAAATTCAAGTGTCTGGCCTCTCTCCTGTGGCTGTTGCGTGTCCTGCTTAGCAACGAAAATAGCGCCTTGGCCGCCTGGAGAAGACGGGATGCTAAGTCCTGGGGACAGTGGGTCACTGTAGTGTACACCAGCCTTGGCGCTAAAGTGCCCGTGCGCTGTGCGTCATGCAGCGTGGCCATGCCTGCACACACACGGCGCATAATAATTGCTCCTGTTTCCTTGGTCTCGTTCAGGTGGACGGGACGGAAGTGACGTGCCAGGTGGCTGCCTCTCAGAAGTCCGTGGCCTGCGATGTCGGCTACCCCGCGCTGAAGCCAGAACAGCAGGTACCAGCTGCGTTTCAGCCTGAAACCCACGCCAGCCCCCTCCGCTCCCGTCCACTCCACCCACAGGCCGCCCTCCTCACGAGCTGTCACCTTTCATGGGCATCACAGCACCGCTGCCTGCCTGTTCAGAGGATGCATCTAGAATCTGAATGTTCTCTTTCAGTTACTCATAGAAGTGAGCCCTCACTGGTTTGGCTCAGTGGATAGAGTTCCCATGCTGAGGGGTCCCAGGTTTGATTCCGGCCAAGAGCACATACGTCGGTTGCAGGCTCAATCCTGGGGACCTGCAGGAGGCAAACAAGTGATGTGTCTCTCTCATCACTGATGTTTCTCTCCCTCCCTCTCCCTTCCTCTCAGAAATCAAGAAATGTACATATTTTAAAAAGTAAGATTTCCCCCACGCGGTGCATCCCAAAAAGCACACACAATGGGAAGTTCTTTTTTTCTGAACGCGTTGCCCAACGGTCGGTCTAAGTGCGCTCCCCGGGGCCCCGGCGGTCACGCGTTAACCCCGGAGGAGCACGCTTCGCATCAGCACAGAGCTTCCAAACCCGGACGGGCGTGTGCTGGCGGAGGGCTGGCCCGTGTCCCTGAGGGTTGAGCCCGTCTGACTCTGAAAGCCAGGCAGCTGTGCCAGGCGGACCAGTAACCACACGTCCCACACATTGGGGAGCTCGCGGTGCATGCCATTCGGAATCCAACCGGAGGGCATCCACTCTCCGGGGAAACTTTCTTTTCATGTTGGGCCTGAGTACGGAGCATCGTGCACTGACGGATTTTAATGTTGTGCCTAGGTGACGTTTACGATTAACTTCGACTTCAATCTTCAAAACCTTCAGAATCGGGCATCTGTCAGTTTCCAGGCCTCCAGGTAAAACATAACAAAGTTGTGCATGGATAGCTTTTCTGATATTTTCCTTCAAGTAATTTCCTAATGCTTGTTCCACAGCGAGAGTGAGGAAGCCAACGAGGCAGACAACGCGGCCAACTTCACCATCCGCCTGCTGTACGATGCGGAAATCCACATCACCAGGTAGGCACGCGTGGCCTAGGGCACCACCGTCACTGGTTTATGGCATGTGTGACTCCAAAACCCTCCGGGTGCTCATCCTTTTTTTTTTTTTTGTAATATTTTTAGTGATTCCAGAGAGGGAGGGAGAGGGAGAGAGATAAGAAACATCAATGATGGGAGAGAATCATGGATCGGCTGCCTCCTGCACACCCCACACTGGACGACTGGGGATGGAGCACTCAACCCAGGCATGTGCCCTGACCGGGAATTGAACCGTGACCTCCTGGTTCATAGGTAGACGCTCAGCCACTGAGCCAGGCCGGCCAAGCTAAATGCTTTTTCTTAATACAGCCTTTTTGTGACTCCACCCGCCCACCACGGCCAGTGTTTTCAGACATTTTACCATGAAGTGAATGTAAGATTGAGGGGCACTTTGCTACCATCTCAGCTGTATGTTTGTGATGGGAAGATGGACTCTGAGATATTCGGATGTCCTTTAAGAAATATCATTCGGTTTACAAAGCTCATAGGAAGAATGATGAAGAGTAAAGCTAGAGTGGTTTTCCGTCCTACCACCCCGGTTGATCCCTGGATGACTTTGTTCTTTAAAAGAAGGACATTGATGGCCTGCAGACTCAGGGGTCCCAGGTTCTATTCCAGTCAGGGGCATGTGCCTTGGTTGCGGGCACATCCCCAGTGGGAGGTGTGCAGGAGGCGGCTGGTCGATGTTTCTCTCTCATTGATGTTTCTGACTCTCTATCTCTCTCCCTTCCTCTCTGTAAAAAAATCAATAAAAAAAATATATTTAATAAATAAATAAATTAAATAAAAGAAGGACATTGAATGCACCTGGAGAGGCATGCAAAGGGTTGAGAGAGATACACACAGAAAATGAGATCACCCCCCACCTCCTCTGCTCGTCCCATAGACGAGAATGGAGGGACTGTTTTAGAATCCCTTCCGGACACAGGTGTGCTTTCCTACAGGATGTGAGCATCACACACACGCACGCACACACACACACACACGGATGCACACATACACGCACGCAGACACACACACACACACACTATTTACAAACACAATGCTAACACTTGGCTGAGCCTTGCTTGCTATGTGATCCTAGAAAATTCCTGTCAGGACATCCACTCTAACCTGTACTGTTCCTGGCTGGGGTGTAACTTATGTCACCAATTTAACAGCAATGACATATTTGGACGTTTTTGCTTTTTTTGCTGGTTTGTTTAATCATCACAAGCAATGCTGGGGGGAAACATGTTTAAACAAACACCTTTTTGTTGAAAAAAAGTCCTTTCCAATGATGGAGTGTGAGCCTTGGCCACCGCTTGGATGCTGTATAAATGTGCAGCTCTGTGCGAATGTGGTGGGTGGGAATGGGTGATAGCAGAATTATTTCTAGCAGGTTCCCCGGCATAGCGAACTGCTAATGTACATACACTGACCCACACGTAGGTGACGTAAGGAACGCCGAGGTCACAGATGGCCAGGGGCTGGGTCTCTTTAAACACACAAGCAGGATGCGTTAACCACCTTAGATGCTGCTGCCCTGGCCCCCGGAGGCCTGGAGGCGGGGGGGGGGTCCCGCGCTCAGGTCCAGGCTCCTGTTCCACCCGCTCAGCTTCCCGTTCCCCCGCGGCCACAGTCCGGCGCCCTCACAGACAGAATCCGGACGCTCGCCACGTCTACTTAAGTCTCCCTCTGACGGACTTTCCTTTTGAGAATTTGGCGGGGGGGAGAATGTTTTCCTAAGGGAGGCATGAAAAAAGAGGAGAAAGGCAGTATTTTCAGTACAGAAATACAAAAACAATGGCAGCAAATGTCCGCTATAATTTTTTAGGACATATAATCAGCGTCCTATAATTAGGGTAGATGACCTGGTGGGAATAGATGTTGTTTCCCAGTCTCCTACCCTCTCCCTGCCTCCACCCCAGCGAAGCCACCTGGTCGGAGTCCAGCCCCAGCCCCAGAAGTGAGGAGGACGGGGTGTAGCACTCCACTCCAGTCTGGCCGGGCTGTCGGGGTTCCCTGGACGTGGTCAGGACTGCACTGCGAACCCCAGGAGGCCGTCCCCAGCAAAGAGGTCCCATCTGGGTCAGCCTCTGAGGGCGTTCTCTGGTGGACACAGGCTGACCGACCCAGTTTGGACCGAAAGCACAGAGTGGTCTCAGAACCAGAGACAGGAGAGGGGGAGAGGGGACAGATGCAGGTCCTGGCTCGCGGGCGCCGGGGACTGAGTGTGCCGGACGGAGCTCCGACGGGCTCATCGCTGTGCTCAGCCACACCCCATGGGAGACCCTCCAGCCATCAGTCACTCATCCCTCACCGAGGACAAGTGTCTACGGAGTGACACACCGTCCGTGTAGCCCGCTCCCCACAGGGCGCCACCGCCAGCCCTGAAGCGATGCGTTGGTGCTCACGTTAGAAACGGTACCACCGGTGATACCGCAGCACAGAGATTCCCGCAGGAAGATCTCTGAGGGACGTGCTTTGGAAGGGTTTGCTTCAGCCTCAGGCTTGACCACTGGCCGTGGCCCATCGGGAGCATTTGTTTCCATTTAGCTTTTTGTCCCTAAACGTAAACGCTTTTGCTTGTCACCTGAGCCGGAAGATACATAAGTAACAGTAGCACGAAGCTTCGAGAAGAACAGCAACGCTAACCTGTCTGCTTCACCAACATCCCCCGACAGGTCGACCAACATCAACTTCTACGAGGTCTCGGATGGGCACGTTCCTTCCACGGTGCGCACCTTTGATGACATCGGCCCCAAGTTCGCCTTCTCCGTTAAGGTTGGTGCGCCTGCCCCGAAGGCGGGCGTCGGGAGGGAGGAGGAGCAGAAGGAGAAGTTGAGATGTGCTGGTGGCTCTCACACTTGAGTGGACATCAGGTCGCCCGGGGGACTTGGTACCATGTGGTCACGGGGCTCCGTCCTCAGAGCTTCTGGTCGAGGGTGGGTCTGAAACTGTATTTCTAGCAAGTTCCCTCCCAGGTCACGGAATGCTGCTGGTCCAGCTGCTCCCTCCGAGAGTCACTGAGATGACCCTGGGGTGGGGGGTTAAACACGGGGCACTGTGCATGGTTGTGTGTCTGGGTGAGGGCTAAGGGGTGTATTTCGAAAGACAGTTTTCAACATTAATCAATGGAACGTTGATATAACGGCTTGGTGCGGGCAGTCTCTGGGACGGCATTCGTGTGCCTTTGATCCGAGGAGCTCACCATCTGTGTACAAGTATGTTTTGTAGTCATGCTGGGCAGAATCTAGAAATATGTGTAAGTCCAGTTCCACGGTCGGCTGGTACGAGCAATTACTAATCTAAAGGTTGTTGTCAGCTACATAAAGAGACATTAAGTTGCCGAAGCAGCTGTTTTAACCATGGGGAAACCATAGGAAGTAAGGACGTTCACCCTCCGCCCTGAGCCTATGCAGTTTTCTTGGTTCATCTCTGACTAGCCCGTTGCCTGGCTGCAGCCCTGCAGTTTGGTGATTCCTTAAAGAGGTCTTTCGAAGAGCCTTGTTTGGGATGCAGGTGCTGGGAGGCAGGGGTACGCGTGGCATCCGGCCACGGCCTCCGTAATGAGATGTTGAGTCCGTTAGCACTCACAGCAGAACAGCATGCGTGGGGAGCGTCGTCAGTGCCGGCCGTGGGTCCCATGCCTTAGCCGCGCTGACCCTTTCATCCCAGAGCAGGGACGTGGGTGTTATTCCTGTGGGTCTTACCACGTTTACCTCCGGGAGGGTGTGCGCACCGGCCACGTGACCGGCGCCCCACCTGTGAGGACAGGAGCGAAACCGTGTCCTTCCATCCCCATAGGTGACCACCGGCAGCATCCCTGTGAGCATGGCCTCCGTCCGCATCCGCCTCCCCCAGCTCACCACCGACAAGAACCCGCTCCTGTACCTGACGGGCGTGCACACGGGCCAGGTGAGGGCGGCCCGAGCGCCAGAGCGACGTGCGCCCTCGGGGTGGGCCCCGCCGGGTGTGTGTGTGGGGTGGCCCTGCCTGACAGGTGTGGACGGAGACGGTGAAGGCGCCCTCTTCTCCTAACGTCCATCGTGTAGCAGCAGCGGGTGCTGTGGTGAGAAGCGAATGTCAGTGTGGACGGCAGAGGCTCTTCCTGAGGCCCCTCCTGGGCAGGGGGTCCCCCCGCAGCGCTCTGCCCACAGG